GTCGTTGTCGTTGTCGTTGTCGTTGTCGTTGTCGTTGTCGTTGTCGTCTTCTGAATCGGAGACTCGGATAGACGGTTCATCGCCTCGGAGAGCAAATCGTTGAGGCGAATATGCGCCATCGTCATCCCCTTCTTCGTTTTCGTCGTTTTCGTCAATTTCGTCGTTTTGGTCGTTTTGGTCGTTTTCGTCAATTTCGTCGTTTTGGTCGTTTTGGTCGTTTTCGTCGTTTTCGTCGTTTTCGTCGTTTTCGTCGTTTTCGTCGTTTTCGTCGTTTTCGTCGTTTTCGTCGTTTTCGTCGTTGTCGTCGTTGTCGTCGTTGTCGTCGTTGTCGTCGTTTTCGTCGTTTTCGTCGTTGTCGTCGCTGTCGTCGTTTTCGTCGTTTTCGTCGTTTTCGTCGTTGTCGTCGTTGTCGTTTTCGTAGTCGACTCCGTCGTCGTCGGCCTCGGATGCAACACCACCATCATCATCGGTAAGATGAGCCGGTTCATCATCGGCTTGGGCTTCTTCGGCTATGGCTTCGGCTTCGGCTTCTTGGACTCTGGCTTCTTGTTCTGCGGCCCAAGCTTCGTCCATTTTTTCCGCTCTAGCCTTAGCTCTACGGTCTCGGGCGTTCGCAGCCCCAATCTGAAGCCGATGCTCCGAGTTGAACCACATTTGTTGCATCAGTGACCCACTGCTGCCCGATGTCCCTGGCTGTGGTGAGCCATTGTGGCGCGCAACATTGACATCATCATCATCATCATCATCATCGTCATCGACCCGTCGTTGCGCTTCTCGCTCAGCACGCTTACGCTGCTTCGTTGCCTCGCGTTTTTTAACACGCTCCTCCTTCAACGCGGTCTTCACCATCGCACACGCCGTCACGATGATGGTTGCGAGGGCTTTGTGAATTTGGGTGTTGTGTGGCAAGCCCAATTGATCGGCCATGTCGTGGCTGTTGACACCGAACTTTCGGGAGCTGTACCACCCTCGGCCCTTGCAGATGTCGTACACCAATTGCAAGTAATTTTCCTGTCAAAATTAAAAATTCATTTTCTTTTGAATTAAACACACAAAACGGCATATTTTTTAAACTCAAGCGATTTGTTTTTTTATTTCATTTTAAAATCCTATCATTGTTATTGGATAACCCTTTAGAATATCGCTTGACTGCAACATAAAACCTCCATATTCGACATTTCAATTGCCACAAAACAGAAATATTTGATCGCAAATTCTAATGAAAATTCAAAATTGATCAAAAAATGTGTAAGTTTGCTGAAACTGGAATAAGTAAGAAGCATAACAAAATATCACGTTGTTCATAACAGACGGACATCGAAATGCATTTATTCGTTAAAAGTCTCTATTATTTTTCTTCAAAACATTATCTACTAAAAATTTCAAATTTTAGTCTCTGATAAGAAATATAATGAAAGTACTTTATGCTTTCCAATAAATGAGAGAAAAGCTGAATTCACGCCGAAAATTTGATTTTTCTGGAAACTTATTGGTAAATTTATGTCTGTCTATTTGTTTTCACTCCAATCATTCTGAACCAAATCTATGCGTTTTATTATTCTATCAATGCAAGAAAGTAAAGGATGTACAATTGCACATTTTCACGAAACGAAACAAAGATTTATTGCAAATGAATAAACTGTAACTAAAACATACCTTTAATGCAAAAGCATTTATTGCTCTCCCTAACGTAAGTGCCATCTATTCGGTGCGAACATAAAACAAACAAAGTGACTCCAGCTGCCAACCGATATATGAATCGGTGGAAATGAAGGCAGTGTATAAAAAATAAGCCGAAAAAAACGAACCACAGCGTTTCCTCTATATAGAGATGTTGTTGTATTATAACTCTGTATGGATCAATTTGTTTGTTTTCATGTTCAAACTGAACAGATGGCGCTCGCGTTAGGTAGGACAATAAATTCTTTTGCACTAACCGTATGAACTAAAATGTACTGAATATGCATGCGTGAATTCATATTGTAGGTAAAAAAAAATGTGCGTGGCTTGATTCAACAAAGATTTTGGTGAATGGAAATGAAAACTCATGCTAGAGTCGAAATGATTCAATTGTTCTTTATGTTTGGAGACTTTTTATAGTGATCATTGGTTGTGATATTTAGTTTTAAATGAAGTCAAATATGGAAAAAAATGTTGCCAAGAAATTAAGTTCAAGCGAAATAGTCAAATATTTCTGTTTTGTAATCAGAATGGACATGAAAAGAAGCGGTAAGATTTTTGCCCAAAGTGATATTGCAGTTGAAATACAGTTAGCGCCACAAACAATTTTCAGTTGTCAACAATAACTTTGTGGTGAATTCAAAAACAATGTTTGATTTGAAAAAAAAGAGACGATAAGATTTGTTTTGTTGTTTCATACAAGCACAAAAAATCCCATATAAATTATAATCAAACCGAATAATTTGGCCGAGAAATACGTAACTGAAAATAAAAATAATGTGTTGTGCAATTTCACAATATTATTATTATTATCATTTATATACAGAGCATTGAAGTTGCTGGCTATGTAGTGCTGCTGGTGAACAGATCTGTTTAACAGCAGCTATTGGTTGCGTGCATATTCGCTGTGACGCGCGTTCGTTCATCTCCCGATTCTCACACACAGTGTTTGTCTCTTGCATTCACACGGAAAGAAAAAGAGAAGCACATACAACACACGAGATACATCGTAAGCGACGCGCGCGTGCATGCACTTGCACACACATAGCTGCCGTTCGTGTCTCGTGTGTTTTATATGCTTCTCTTTCTGTTTCTGTGTGAATGCAAGAGACAAACACTGCGAATTTCGTCAAGTGTTCCAACGAACGTCAAAGCAGAATTCAAATTCAACGGTTTTCAAATCAAACACTATGCAATCGAATGTTTCCAATGTTTGTGTATTTTGAATCAAGTGCAAAGGAGAAAAAGAACAAACCAATTAATGCTCAATTTGTTTTCTTTGTGTTCTGTGTTTATTTGTCTCATTCTTCATTTTTGCATCTCAGTGTCGTTTTTAAATTAAACGATAAAAGAATGACTACACACACGGAAAAAAGGTTTAAATATTCGCTACGCCCAATTTTTTTTCCTTAAAAAAACCAAAATTTGAGATTTCTCAGACAAAATTTATTTCGGCGCCTCCATTTTACATACATAATGTATCTTCGAAAAATAAATTTTGTCCGAGAAATCTCAAATTTTGGTTTTTTTTTCAAGGAAAAAAAATTGGGCGTAGCGAATATCTAAACATTTCTTCCGTGTGTGTACCAGCTTTGCCCTATTTGAACTTTTCATGATATTTGTACATGAAATTTATAAATCCATCTATTGAAAAAACCCAAAATCAATGAAAGTTCAAAGTTTTTCATAGATTATCTATGGTATTTACGTGTGACACATACAGTGCCATCTATTGAAAAAAGTCACAATCGTGTCAAGTTGAAATAAGGCAAAATAACCCAGAAAATGGTTGTCATTCTTTGTTCATGATTTTCATAAAAATAAATACTTCATTTGTTTACAATACAATCACTTCATTTGTTTTCGTTGTTTTACAATTTTAAAGATTCAAAAATAAAAACGACAGTGCGATGAAAAAATGAAAAATGAGGCAACTAAAAACAGAACACAAAAAAATAAATTTAAAATTCATTAGCTTTGTTCTTTTTCTCCTCTGCACTTGATTAAAGAAAACACAAACATTGGAAACATTCGATTGCATAGTGTTGGATTTGAAAACCGTTGAATTTGAATTCGGCTTTGACATTGGTTGGTACACTTGACGAAATTCGCAGTGTTTGTCTCTTGCATTCACACAGAAACAGAAAGGGACGCGTATAAAACACACGAGACACAAGTGAATGCAAGAGACAAACACTGTGTGTGAGAATCGGGAGATGAACGAACGCGCGTTAAAGCAAATATGCACGCAACCAATAGCTGCTGTTAAACAGATCTGTTCACCAGCAGCACTGCATAGCCAGCAACTTCAATGCTCTGTTTATATATTTCGCCAAATACTGGCTACATGCAATAACAATTTCGTCTGTCTACACATAAAATTTTGATTTTGTTGTCAATACTTTCGTGGTTAATTCAATATTTCATTCGTTTACCATGTTACACACAAAGTTTCTTATTCTGGATTTAAATACTGTTCTTAATATTTTCGCAATATATACACTGCTTACGCCATTTGACACATACATATCCACATTCAGACAGATAGACAGACAGACATTGCAAACACCGCTGACAACTTTGTGGTGAATTCAGTGTCTGTGTTTTATTACTGAGATTCTTTTTTTTTACAGTCAGCTATCGGCTATCGTACACTAATGTAATCGCACACAATGAACCGAGTTTCTTAAAGTCATACAGAAAAGTGTAAATAAACCAAATCAAACTGTTAATGCATTAAGAATATTGCAATAACTTTAATGTCAAGACATTATATCATAGACATACAATCATTCCGTAGCTGTCGTTCGTATGAGTAACAACCAAAGAAAAAAGCATAAGCCTGACAAAGAAAAATGTACAACAAACGCATTTATATTTTTTTTTTTCAATTCGCGCTGATGGTAACAAGAAATTTCAACTACAACATCATTTTAGGCAAATCATCGTTGAATGTAAATAGTGCGATTGTTCAAGGGTTAGTAAGAAAAATCTACATACCTTTGGATCCATCGGTTATCCGTTGCTCTCTGCAGGCTTTAATTTGACTGTGGAATGCTCAAGTTCAAATGGCCAATCGTCAATCACCGCTTCGCTTCGAATCGAATGCTAAGGCGAAGAAGCGTCAATGAATGGCTTCACAACATTTCAAATCGGATTTAAAAACAATTTTCAAAGAACACACTTTTTTATATTGCAATCAATTCATATGAATTACGTTTACTTTATCATATAGAATCTGGTTTCTGCTGTTTTCCTCATTTCAATGTGTGTACTACTGTGAATGAATGACTGAATATAGAAGAAAAAAAGAATGCACGAGCAGAAAAACATCGGTTAGTTAACCAAGGGATTTATGGCTTGGACGTGACCAACTTTAATTGATTGTGAAACTGATAGTTCTGTCGTTGTGTGTGATTTTTTTTGTTCGCATTTAATTTAATTCTATTATTCACATTCGGGTTGGAACGGGCTTCGCTCATCATTAATGCATATTCATTACAATCGATCTTCCACTATGAACGTCAGCGATCAACATCAACAGAGACACTATAGCACATAGCATTAAACGCACTATTGCTTCACTCTTTGTACACACTTTGACATCACTTATGCTTTGGCGCGCGTCGTACGTTTTTCAAACGTTTATGTTTGATTCAAGTATTTCACCGATTTCACCGAATTTTCTTACTCAATATCAATATATTCATTTTTACTTGGAAGTTTTTTTTTATTGAAATGATGTTTTAAAATATATATTGTCGAGAAATATTTTTTTTTCAATTTCCAAAATTAAATGAAATTAAAACACATAGCATGAAACGTATTCATAGTAGAAATGCATATGTATTAGTTTGTACTTATTCATTATAATGTATTTAGATAGGACGCTAGCGCGGCCTGCAATCGATTGATTCAACCTAGAGCCAAAATGCAATCATAGGAGTTCGATGATGCGTTTGATTTTTCGTCGGTATTGCCACTTCGTGTAAGATTGTAAACACTCGATTATATATATTCCAGTATGGATATATTAAAGCGTACATTTTTTTCCGTTTTATTTTAATTACTTCAAACCGTTTGTTGTGAGAACGGCAAATCAAAATCGATTGGCAATTCAGAGACTTATTCAAGGATGTTGCATGTTCGACGATGACGACAACGACGACGCTCATACACATAGCTTGCACCATTGCTAGGCGCACTCGTTGCAATTTGCTCACACGGAATCAGTTTTTCGTTTTCGCGTATTACGAGACGCTACAACGAAAATCTATTTTTACCCACTAACGATAGCATTATATGAGCAATAGTTCGCAGACGTTCGTTTTTTCTCTCTTGTTTTTTTTCGGTATCATCTCTTCATTTGTGCAGCATGTGTTTTCTTTGGTAACGAACCTTGTTCTTGTTTTATGCTGCTGCTACTGTTGTTGTTATCTTTGGAATTGTGCAGTTGATTATTCGTCATCGCCTTTGTTCGAGCAACACATTTTCTTGTTGCATGCTAAGATTTCTGTTTGCATGAAAGTTAATTGCTTCTTTTCGTTTTCATTTTCATTTTGGGGGTTTCTATCTTTTCTGCGTATTTTTTTCTCTCGATCTTTTATGATTTGTGTTTTGTTGCTGTTGTTGTTGTTGTTGTTGTTGGTCGGATTTATGTGCACTACCGCTTCGGTTTATTTGTTTGTTCTCTACTCTGCCATAATCAAAAATTCTCATGTAATTTTTAACGGTTGAATTACGGTACATCTCGCACATATAATTCAATTTATTACCGCCAATTGCACATTTCTCTTTCAATTCAGTTCAGATTGAAGTGTGTCATCGACATTTTGCATCGACGACATGAGCATAAAATAGGAAAAGAAACAAAACATGTCGGCTACGCGACAATAACAACAGTAACAACCAGCAATTGACAAAAACAACAAAAACAGGCGACGGTGGCAGCAGCAGCCGCAGCAGCGGCCCAATAGACATTTACGCCATACAGTTTGTTATAGTAATAACAATAATATGAAATGATAATGGAATTGCAAACTCTATCGGACAAAGCAATCGTGAAAATTGTAATTGCCAGCGATGTTTTTTGTGGTGTCACACACACTCTGTGTGTGTGTGTGTGTGTGTGTGTTTGTGCTCAGTGTTCACTCTCTCGGTGACATAATTCCAATTAAAAACGTTGCCAACCGATACGAAACCGTCAAAATGATTCAATAAGTTATGACCATTTTGTTGTACAAAGTGTACACGTTTCAACATTTATGAATATCAATTGGAATGAAACAATAACAGCTGCGCCGCTGCTGCTGCTGCCACAGCGAAAATCGCCTACAGAAACATTCAGTCAATTTTGTTATAAACTTATTGTATATGATATCTTGTAAGCGAATCAGTTGATTTTTACAACAAAATTCGTCTATGCTTGTGTTCTGTCGAATGTTTTTTCTTGCTGGCCATTCTTTTTTTTCCCCTCTTGATTTTATTGCAGTTTCACATTTTATTACAATTTAAAGACACCAACGGCGAAAAAACAGGAGTAGCACAAATAACACAAGCAGCAGCAGCAGCAGCAACGTAGACAAAAAAGAGAATCATTCACGCTTATTGGACTTGAACGAAAGAACGACGATGTGTTGTTTCTCTCGCTCTATGCTAAGTTTCTGAGCTAAAGAGGTTCTGCAACACCACGTATATACAATTGCAATGCTTGAGCTAGCCCAGTGTAGAAGTACGACTAATTTTAGTAAAAAAAATCCTCTCTTGTTCGTTTCATTTTATTTGTCTCATTCGTCTTGATATGCATGCTCATTTTATTTTCGGGCGGTACATTTTTTTTGTCAATTAAAAGCATTGTGTCTGATTTCATTCGTTGTTTTTTTCTTCTGTGTGTTCATATGTTTCGGCTCAAGTGACGTATGAAATGTGCAGTGCATGCGAGCTTAAGAGATGATGAATACGTTCGACCCACGTTATCTTACATTAATCACATTTAGAAGAAATTAAAATGATTTCTTTTTCTCAGTTTTACAGTTCTCGGAAGCATCGAACACATCATGCAGGCCTATAAGAATGGGTGATATATACATATATGTAAATGTTGCAATCACTTAAGCGGTGATAACATTTAAATGCATAATCTATTTTACAAACGATATATAAATCCTGTGCTGTGTGTGACACAGTTCATTGTTATGCGTTGACCAGAAACAAAACAGAACAAAAAAAACATTCTTTTCTATTTTATGTGCATGAGATATCTTGTGATGGAATGTGGGGGAATTTTTATAGAAAATGCCTCAAAATGAGATTGGCCGCAAAAAAAGCACTTTTCAAAACGTGACATTCCACAAAAAAATCAATGTGTCGATATGCCTCTCAATGGATTCAACACACAAGCAAAAAATGTGGAGTAGGGCATTTGCGTACATATTTGATGAGATGACCAACGGAAATTTGGAAATTTCGAACGATACTGTGCTTAGCGTATCAATCACGAAAAACTGTACATTTTTTTTTACATTCTCAGTTCAACTTCTTTCTCTCTCTATTCCATAATCTCTATGCCATCACACATTCGCAATTGTGCTTAGAATTTCAGCACACCGAAATGAGCGTTTTATTTTTGGAGAAAATCTCGATGAAAGCCAACAAAAATAAATCAAAAAGGTGAGCCGGTGAACAAAAGCAGTCGGAATGAAATTAGCATTCATATCAAATGAAATGACTTGAAATAAAATTTCGTGGTTGATAGCGTTCGCGCTACCTCACATTTTAAACGAAACCACCATTTTTTTTATTGTGTTTAGCCAAGTAAGATCAGTATAATTTCGATCGATTAATATTGATATGTATTAAAATGACAGCATGCCATTACAAGTTGATCGATCTCATCTGTTCATGGTCTTTTAATGAATTTCCACACAATACAGAACAGCACTTTATTTTTTTTCTCGCTCGCTCGTGTCGATTTACCAAATTTAGCATTTTTTTTTGCAACGTTGCAAATTGTCGGTTGGGTGCCAAAAACGCCATCATTTTTCGGTATAAAAAACAGCCATCAGACAAAATTTATGGCTGATTCACATAAATTATAATCATCTGCTAGTTTTCAGGACGTGTGTTTTATGGCCTTTTTCTTCATACGTTCATTTGGTTGGTTGTTTTTTTTTTACTCGGTTCACTCTCATTGTGGTGGCATCGTGCATTCGATGTGATACGAAGTTCGGTCGACCACACCTTAGCTATTCTGATAAAAATGTGTGATGTGATCCAAAAAAAAAGTCAGGGGGAAAAAAGCATTTCAACTATTTACGCCATAATGATTTTAAGCGCGTTGCGAATTCAAATGCACGGTTTAATTCGAATGATTCGTCGAAAAAAAATGAACAACAACACATAGAACCGAACCAATTGCGATTGAGTGGTGTCGTTTTTATCCATATATATACATTATAAAACGTTACAATCATCAGCAGCACACCGAAAATCCGAAAATAATTCATGCGCGAAGAAATCTCATTTTTGGACGATCAGCCATCGAGCGAACTCTCTCGCAGTTCAGGTTAATCAACTGTCCTTCTTCCATGTACTTAAAGTTCAGTATTTTAAGAGTGTGTGTGATAGAAAGAGAGGCAGAGATCGAGAGCGAAAAAAAAGTATGGCAAAGACTCGTTTTAATTTAATTGCTAATTTAACCGCTTTATTTTTATTCGGCGTGCAAAGCCCCATACACGCATCAAGTAACGGAAATGTTGTATAAATATTTCATTTTATGTGCGGATCAACGTTATGTAAATGATAATCACATCACGAAAATTATGTTTTCGATTCATACAGGTGTCATACACACAATCGGTCGAATCAGTCGGTTTTTTTCTCTCGTCTTTCTTCTGTTTTATGGTTTTTTGTTTGTTGACATAGTAGCCAGTGTGTGTGTGTGTGTGTTTGTGGAACACTTTTTGATGGCTTATTTTCCTGCGGGCGATTGCGTTGCTTTAAATTTGGATGAATTATTGAATTTCAATGGCCAATTCATTCAATTCTGTGAATTAGATTTTCTTCTTTATTTTGCATACAAATACATGATAAAGGTATTATCATTCAGTTTCTGATTATCCGATGATATAAATCTCTTTTTCAAATGCAATATACAAATAAAAATCACGAATGAATGGAAGTAATCGCTCTTTAAGGCTATTTCAACATCGATCGCGATTCATTCAAAATAAATGTGTTGCACGGTGAAACTCTCCATAAAGTTCATCAAGTTTTTCGGTTAACTTACACTTTTCTTTTATTTTTCTTTCCTATCTAATACACATAAACATTGTTGCGGTCAGCTTCTTTTTATTGTTTTGTATGTGGATTTGCTGATTGACATACATATTTCATCATGAGAGAGAGAGAGAGAGAGATAAATAAAATTGACGACAATTCGTCTTATATCTTAGGTATATGTGTGCGTATTGAAACCGTTTGTTTGCCATAGAAACGGTAAATCTTTCCGCTGTTTTGTGTATCAACTTCCACTTTTCTATTGTAATCAGTTCGGAGAGATGATTTTTTTCTACTCTTTTGAATTTCGATTGTGTACGTTAGTTTTTTGTTTCTTCTTTTCACCGGCACCGCGATTTTTGATTGTTTTCGGAATGCTGGGAAAATTCATGTCGGCCCCGATGAACTCGTAAATCATTGTACGCATGCTTTATTTATTTACAAAGCACACAAAAAAGGGGCATCTCTCAATCGAAATGCCATAATTTGCTGGAAAACGAGTTCAATAAGTCGAATCCGGCCTGAAATGATTAGATAAACTATTGAAAATTGATGCGATGCTCACCATTTCCGATTGCTTTCAGCGGCAATCCAGGTATTATTTTGCTTTTGGATACGAAATTAAATCGTTTGTTACTTTTTCGTATGTGGTTCACCTCATTGAAAGTCATCGAAATTTCAAAACAGTTTTGATTTGCCTTCGATTGAAGCAAAACCGATGACGAGACACAAGATGCATATCATTTCATTTCAAATGGAATTCATTCCGCCTAAGCATTTCGACTAGTTCTCGATCTGAGCGAATCCAAAACGGAAAGAAGAAGAAGAAGGAAAAAAAACATGCAAACGCATGGAACGAATATATCATTTGTGGTGAGAGAGATAGAGAGACTTAGTGATGAGAATAAATGCAGCAAACCGTAAAGCTGTTGCATGGAACGTCGAATGTTCGCATTCAATACACTTCTTTCTTCATTGTTTATTGACACATTTAATTTCACATGCGTTCGTTTTTCCTTCTCTTCTCCTTTGGTGTATTTGAATTTAAATTGTAGCATTTCTAATCTCTCGCTGTGTTTACTGTGTATGCCGCCAGTTTTCTTCTTCATTATCTGCCACAAAGTTGTAGTAGCACATAAAATAATTACATAGTATGAGTCATTTTCAGTGCCGTGCTGAAACATGATGAACACGAATAATTGCAGCAGCAGCAAAAAACAAGAACAACAAAAAATATTTTATGAATGATGAAAAGTGCCACCATATGAAAATAAGTAGCGACAGCCACAGAAATGTAGAATTTGATATAAACGACAGAAATACATTCAAATGATAGATCCTTTTCGATATTTGATGACAGAATGGAGACACACACACACAGAGGGAGAGAGAGGAAGAGAGTAGTTGTATATAATTTGCATTTGCTCGAAATCGCAAACACATTTCCACCCGATATTCATAAAACATGAGAAATGCATGCAATCATCATCACATAGCCATATAACATACGCGACAAGCGCTTCAATTTGTGTATCGTAAGTGTAACATAGCACATTTTGAGCTAGAGAAACACATGCACACACATCCCTTTTAGAAAACCAGATTGGAGGAGAGAAAAAAAAATATATATGTGTGTATAGGATATAGAAAACCAAAAATCGATATTTTTATAATGGAATTCGTTGACCTTTCTCTTACGTAAGCTTCAAGACAAACACAACAATCGCGTTCTTCGATTCAATTTCTGTTTTTTTTTCTTTTCGATTATGATGGATTGTGTTGAAAGCAAGGAAACAGGAAAGCAAGTAAAAATATAAATACACAGAAAATGTATATATTCAAACTGGAGAAATAAAGCGAAATGAAAAAAAAAACAGTATAAAAATATATATCTATATATGACTAAATGCTGTCAAATGATACGGACTGTATCGTAATATGCTAAAGAATTTCGCTACATTTCGCCGATAGACCAGCAGCACACGCCATTAGAAACAGCGAGCAATGAATAACAAACAACAGCGGAACGACCACCACGAACCGAGCGCACAATGATAACAGAGCAGAAAAAATGTTCGATTAACAAATAAGTGCAAGAAAAGAGAAACAGAAGAAAAAAACTAATCAAATAAAACAAAACCAAACAACCAACGGTCGAACAAAATATACATATGCATATATATATATAACGAGTGCGCCAAAACAAAATGCAACTCAGAATGTGAAGTGTGTTCACGAAAAAAAGTGATTATGAAAATGCAAAAAAGAAATTGAATTGAAATGAAAACAGTCGATATATGTGTATCGTTGAGCCAAAGTGCATTCATTTTTTTTTCTCTGCAGATATCTTTCTTTCTTTCACTTGAACACTTTAAGTGGATAATATCTATTACGTGTGGTGCTTCTACCATCCTGATATGTTCTTTTTTTCATTCGTTCGGCTTATTTTCTCTTCATCTTCTTCTCGTTTTGTATGTTGAGGTGGTTTGTTTGTTTGTTTTTTTCTTCTTCTTTTCTTTTCAATGTGCATTTTTTTTCTCTGGGCAATAAGCATTGAACTAGAGAAATCAAACGCTTGTTTATGAATAATATTAACATTATCCAAAGCACTTTGCGTCCGCGTTCTTCTCTCCATCTCTTTGGCATACGAAAAATCAAAATGGCAATTGCAAATGAGATTTCCTCCGTTTTGTTGGGTTTTCGTTCAAAATATTGATAGATATTTTGTGTAATTTATTTTTTTTGCGTACTTCATATTTTGATGTAGTGTGTTTTTTCAATTACCTTTTTCTCAGGTTTGTAGCAAGCCCGTGAATCAATGGTAAAATTTGCGTTTAGACTATTGTGATCTGCAGCGATAACGGTAACTTCTTGTATTTTCTTTTCACCGCCACGTACACCAAACTGAAATGGTCGATGCTGATGTTGATGGTGATGCTGACGTGGCTGCTGTTGTTGTTGTTCCTTGCTATTCTCAACTGCAATCAACGGCTAAACACTTCGTGCATTATCACAATTCGATTTGTTTGATTTTGTGGATTCTTTGGTCAATTCACAATTTATCAATAATATTTTTATCTTCGACCATGACCGAGTGATTACGAATTGAATTTTGCAACTGTCCCTTCAATTTTAAACTATTTCACTCACTCGAACTTATTTCGTTTCAATTATGAACGGTTTTCCGTGGCAATTTATTTTTCCGTTCTTGTTAGCGATGTTTTTTCGGTTGTTATGAGTCACAGACGATGATTAAAAGGGAAAAGCCGCGAAATTAGTTGTTGTTTTTGTTAGGCAAACAATAAACTTTTCATTAATTCGTTAGTTATGTTACAATTTGGTCGCTTGTTACTCGAATGACACTCTCTGATAATTCTCTAGAGCCAAATACAGCGAAAAAAAAAATCACACGAAGAAAAATGAGAATTGCTACGGTAAACAGTTTCGGAACAACACTATTCAATGGTTTGTCACCGAGAATCGAAACATTACATCCGCACTCGCATGATTCACACCAAATTTTTGTTCACATAATCCAATCGACGTATCATACAGTCGTTCAATGCTGCGTTTTTGCACAATTACATCAACACAAAGAGAAAAGGAGGGAGATTTAACACGCGCGATAGCAATTACAACTCACACTATCACGGTTTTGAAAATTGCAAAGGTGTTTTTTTGCGAAAGAAGAAAACCGAACGACAAAAGAACAAAAACAAAGCGAACTGTATTCAATCCAAACTCACACAATGCTCAAGATGTCTCAATTGCTTCGTATAGTTTTTGTGTGTGTTGCTATTAGAGATTACTTGTTTGTTGTTTTGTTTTGAACTTGGTAACTTCTGATTTGACACACACACAAAAAAACAAATATAACAGACTCGATATATCGCTAACACGAAACTAACGCTTAGCTCGTCTGTGCCGATTGCTTGTGTGCACAGATGTGTTTACTGCACACACACACTCATCGGAGAACACAACGCTGTGACCACTGATGCTGCTAATGCCAACACCGGCTGCTGTTTACCGCGACCATAAGAATAAAAACGACAATAGGAATTCGTGGTAAAATAGATAAATGGAACGCTTAAGTCGCTAGAATGTCAATGTAATGCGTTGTTTTGTTTCCAATTGTCTACGTGACATATTTGCCGACATGTAAGCTCGTTGCTACTGCCCATTGAAAACCCATTCACATCATTAAAAAAAGCATAAATAAATAAGAAAGCAGAACCTGATGCTACTGCTTCCGTTGAGAAGTGCAAGCACTTTTCAGAAGCAAGCACAGAACCAGCAAATTAAAACAAAAAGTGATCGCATGTACTTTCAACGCGATATTCACCAATCAATTAGAGTATTGGTGAAAGAGTACTCAAAAGTCATCGATAAGCATTTACAGAAAGAAAACAAGTGGAATATTTTTTTTCCTTCCGTTACACGTACAAGCGACATCACAACGATTTATTGAACGCATGTACAAAAAACATTTACAGTAAAGTCCAAACACGGGCTATTTTGAATTATTATCTAAATTATACACTGTTTTTTTTCGCTTCCTCTATCAAATCCAGAGCTGGAAAAAACACTCTGTGTGTGCGCGTACGTAACTAAGAACGCACTCACAGTTGGCATCTGCCAACGAACGATTCCGCCAAAATTTGACAGTAGAACCGAAATCTATGTAAATGTGCACGCACACCAAAAATACAAGCGTTATGTGCACCGCACATCTACTGTGAGTGCGTTCTTAGTTACGTGCGCACACACACAGAGTGTTTTTTTCAGCTCTGATCAAATCGATTGTACTTATTTCTTTAATTGAAACTCTTTGTCATTGTTTCCAATACTATTTTATAATCTAAATCCAAATGGGATTTATTATCCGAATTTTCAATTTGAGCAAATCTATCGAACGGTTTTTAACCGATTATTTTAATAGAAACTAAAGTGATTAGCGTTAATAGCAAAAGTGCAAATATTAATGCCATCATATCATTATCACAAAAATCGATTCACTACCCCAATGAGCACCGGTTTGATCCGAACTTGTGTCGCTCAACAACGATTTCGTACTGCTTACTGATGTCGTGTGAGTTCTGGAATTGATTGGAAAAAATTGATTAACGATTATTTTCTGAGTTTTTTTTTTCGTTTTTTTTCTTCTTGCATTTTTTTCTATTTTACTGTTTTTTTTTACTAATTCACATGTTTATGAATGACTCTGAACCAATTTTTTTTTCTTGAAGCAAAGTGACTAAAGTCAAACACAAAAACATGAATAAAATGGTATGCGTCCAATTAAATTTTTTTATTCATTTGATTCAATGTTTAATTTTTCGCTACTTGAAATATAAAACAAATTCAATTAGAAAAAATAAAAAAAAAATCCAAATATCCATGCTCACCTGAAACCATCTGATGTAGATCACCGCTGCTCTTTCTAGGCAATTTGTCAATTGTATACGGAAGTAGAATGATTGGTGGTTTCTTTTCATCGGTAGTGTCCAATCCGTATGGACCAAGTGGATCAATGCACACCGAATATGGATCGGGACTGGGCAATTGATGATGTTCGGTGTTAGTGTTTGCAAATTGATTTTGCGTGACTGTGTGTGCAGTTATGTAGAACATGGCATTCCCGATATATTTCATCCGCAAACTTTAGACGAATTTTTAGTCGAACCAAATGGAAGATCACCTTTATGCGTTGCATTTATTGTCGTCAAATGGTTTGAATGATGGATTTGTACACCGGTCTGTCGATAAAAATGTTTTTTTTTTCAATCCAATCAAAATCAACTCGAAAAGAACGAACCGCTCACAATTTATCGTCGTCGTAATCTGATCGTACAATAATGGGAATTCGTTTCGCTAACCTATTTGAGATGTTTGATTCACTTATCGGCGGCTCGTTGTTCGTTGTCAATAAATATTACGGTTGTTATCGATTTAATTGAGGAAATGTTATCTCTTCGATGACTTTAGCCGTTTTTCAGTGCAATAAACACGACAAAAAATGGGTTTTTAAAAATTAAATTCAAAATCGTTAAATTTACAATGATATTATCACGATGAACTATAAATTTTCCAATGCTAAATGTATCGACCATACGGAATGCAATTAAATTTAAAAATAACGTTGAACTAATCGAATAAAAATTATACGATTTTTTTTCGAATAGTCGTAATAGTCCGTTGCTAATGCGATTCATCCAAATATATGAACAAATCCAGAAAAAGAAGATACAAATCCACACCTTAGGAACAGGTGACTTAATGGAAAAATTCTCACATACAATGAATTCTGGCTAAATACGACGAGTGAATAGAGTAAATTCGTGGTGATAATTACGTGAGTTTTCATAATTGACATTAAATCATTTGAAAGTGACGTTGCAAACTTTTCTTTAGCGCCATTTCTTGCCAATCGCTTCAAATACGGCTTTGAAAAATACAGTTGATGATTTGTTTTGATTACACTTTTTTTAAATTTATTGAACGAATAGAAAATGTTACGGAAAAGTTACAAGACAGATTAAAAGCCACTTTGATACAATAAAAAACAAAAATCAACGATAGAAAATATCACAAATGTTTAGCACCTAGAAACAGTTTATATGCATTGAATGATTCTCGTGTTTTTTGTACGTATTTCATGAAATGACGTGGACAAAGCTTTGGATCTAAATCGAATACGCTTGCATTTACAATGAACTGTTGATCATTTAGTTTAACTAATGGATACTTAAAAGTACAAGTAATGATTTTTTAGAATAACACGATTTAAGTGTGTCCTAATGTTATCCGAATTACCCCAAATTATGATGATTATGATTGGTTTGTTGGCCGCAACTCTGAAATGTCAGCATGATGGAGGAGTCGAGCGCAGTCGCTCCAATCTCATATATTTCTTCGTCACTCAAATTGCACGTACTTTTCAAATATTCATAGTCAATTACATCAACGGGATTTTGATGGGTTATTTGGCATCCCAGTTTCTCATACAATGCGATGACATGTAAGTGTGGCCATTGTTTGCTTCTGATTAAATTTTCCCATCCTTTTGAGTGCTCGGCATATTTTTGGGCAACATATGGAATGGTTTTCTATTTGAATGGAATCAATCGTTTTAGTTTACTTCCGTTTTTTATATGATTTTTTTCGTCGGAATGAAGGAGAGAGAAAAATGTTTACCTTTGCAAGTAGTTGTAAGTCAAGAACACGTTTCAATATCGATTGCTTTGGTAAATGGCTGGAATTTGATGTAATACATGCAAAGAGTTGATTTTCCGCTGTTTCCGAATCCAAAATAATATCGTTTGCCTGTGTCATCATATTGCAACTTATTCACCAACAGCGATATAAAATCGTTCACGTTATTTCTTTGGATGGAGAGATAGAGAGAGGGAGAGGGAGAGAAAAGCAAAATTATTTTATCATCGTCTCAGTGGATCTGCATTTTGAATTAAAAAAAATTCCACAATATTACGAATTTGCACCAAAGTACGGGGATAATATGGATTGTAAAGCATGCTCCTGATAGTCATCATCATCATCATCGCCATACACGAGCTGCCCATTCCGAAAAATTCGAAAATTACTTTGAGGAGCAGTGATTAAATTACGTATGGATTTTTTCATGAGTACAGCGTCACTGTGAACAACGACCGAAAAAAATGGAAAAAGAGAGATGTAATAGCAACAGAAAACATATAACCAAAAAGATGGATAAATGTTTCCGTTTCGAATCGGTTGCCGACTTATCGATATTTACCCAGAGAATATATCTAACGGACAGTATTTGCTGAGCTGATGTACTTGTCGTCCCCTAACTTGTATGTGTTATTGTTGTTTTTTTCGTCCAAAAATAAACAATTATCATGGGACATGGACCAGAAAATGACATTCCAATTAGGTAAATTGTGTGTGGCGGCGCAGGCGGCAAACACCAAACCCACCTTGAGATGTTGCATTGCACAAAATCGGCATTTGTTCCGCACACCATGGCCAATTTCGAACACTCGGGCAGCGCACATATATCCCATCTTTGTTTTGGCTTCATCCTAGGGGATAGACACAAGATCTGAGATACGTTCGTTTTTCAAAATACTTAATTGATTTTGTGTAGAGGTGTTCAGATTCGTGAAGATTCATTGAGATTTGAAGGGATTTGAAAAGATTTGTAAAAATCTTACTGATTTGTTTGACCTTCTTGACAAGTCAGCCATTTTGATTTGAGAAGATTTATAAGGATTCATAGAGATTCAAAAGTATTTGGATTTGCTCGAGATTTGAGATTCCTATAGATTTGAAAAGATCTAAAAAGATTCAAGTTTTAAATGTTGTGTCTACCCCCTAGGCTTCATCTCAACGGCCAACACATCACCGCTGCTGATGTTAATGCCGCTATTGCTAGAGATGTTTCGTGGCATGGCCACACTTTCCAAATTTAAATTTAGGCTACAGGCGTCGTGATAAAGTAAACCTTAATCAAAATCAAAGTCATCTCTTTTCGTCGGTGTCGTCGTCATCATCATCGACTGAATGCGATGCAATGGCCTGTGGTTGTGTAACCATATATCGAATGCATCAACATTGCAAAATTCGATCCGCACTAAAATCGGTCGGCTTGATATATTTGGTCCAAACAGCGTCGAAACACGATCGATGTATTTATACACAGAGAAAATGCGTTCGTTTTGCCAACCACATTCTTTTGCTGTTTCTGCACGGCTGATGTTTTGTTTACTGAAAATATTTGCGAAAAAAAATATGTACACACAACGCAGTGAATACAAGAGAAAAATTGTGTACAGTCAGAAGAAGAAGAATAAAAAAATAAATGAAATAAACGAAATACTACATGTATCAGATGACACGAATAAAGAGACATGGCAAAAGGAACGGAACAACAACAAAAACCGATTCATTGAATTTAATTTCGCAAGCAAAAAACGTCGAAGTGGTTACAATTACATGGTAATATGATGGTACTTAGCCTTCGGATACATTTTTATGATAATTCTTTTGTGCAAAGCAACAACAAAAATCGGCTCTCTATATATATTTTTTCGGCTTTTGTTTTTTTCGTTCGAAACCATGCTATTTGATTATTCTTTCTTTTGGGACGTTTTTTTCTTTCTTTCCTTCGAAAATTCCTTCAATAAATTCAGGTTTTATCGAATAACTTCGACAGAATGACAGTTCGCATTATTCATATCTCTTGAAAAACGCCTTTTCTTCATTCATTAATGAATTTAAATAAAACTGGAAAGTTAAAAATAGAGCATAGCAATGTTTTTTTTCTTTTCGTTTCGTTTCTTTCGCGTGATGACTATTTACGCGTTATTCGTTGTTTCTACTCAATTACCGAAATTCGCCGTGTTTAGAATGAACAGAGTGTGCTGGACTGGGTTTTAGTTGTTGCTATTCCTTTTGCCTTTTCTTCCATTATTTTTTGTCTTTCTCATCGGTTCAATGTTAAATGTAGGTTATTCGGAAACGTAAATTGAAGACAGAAAGACGCAGCAACAACGAACATATGAAATTAGAAAGACAAATGACAAACGTGCATAATCTTCAGCTACATGTTGCTTTTCAGTGCCTGTTACCGCGTCATGATGCTGCATTACACCCATCGCTTCGCGCAAATTCGAAAGATTTTCCTCAAAGCTGGCCGTTTTCTTCTTTGCTAACACACTCAATTGCTTACACACCTTGGAAATGGGAAAAAGCGGTCAGAAATTGAAAATATAGTCAATTATTGAACGGAATTTAGTAGAGTTGGATGGAAGTTGATTTTACGTGATCAAAATAATCTGTCTTTAGTTTGTGATTTAAGTTCGTTTTTGATTTGATCAAAAAACAATCATTTTAGTTAAAGTTTATCCAAAAAGCATGAATTTTATCCGGAACAAGCAATTCCATACCTGCAAGTAATGATTTCCGATTCGTTCAAATCGCTTAAGCGTTGTTCTCGATGTGAAATAGCCGGTCCAAAATGAGTGTGGATCAGATGCATATGGGAAGAAATCATCACTTTTTGTTGGAAATTTGATGCCCGAATCGTACAAAGATTTCAAGTAACACGATGGTGTTGAATAGAATGCGTTCACCTTCAATCCGCTGAGTTGTCGTTGATTGATGTTTCTTCTCCAATAAAACATAGAGTTGATTTAATCAAGTTTATGACCAATAAAAATTTGTGGTTAAATGCATCAATCACCAAGCAATCGAGTGTTATTGGTAAGGGAATTTAGAGTGTTATGGCAATTCAAGATAAGGAAGTTAAACATGTCAAGGTTATTGAACCATGCCGGTCATGTTGATAATTAAAATCATCACCTATGGTGATTAGAACATTATTTGTTCTATAAGCACCCAAAGCATTATTGAAATATTCTAACAAATCTGCCACCTATTTGAAATAGCACGTGTTAGTATGAAAAAAATGCACCAAATCCAAATGATTCTTATGCTAAATGATAATGAAATAATTCAATGACAACGAATAGAACCAAAACACAGACTTCCGAAACCGTGATTAGAGGCGCTTACAATGGGCTGAATCAATAAACTTGACACAATTTTGAAGTGCGTCGAATTTTGAACGGCTTGTTTTATTTCTTTGCATTTGTTTGATTTTCTGTGTTAAATCGGCATATTTGTTTGTAAAAGGTCCATGTGTCTGTCCCCTTTTTAAATTGTTTATCTTTTTTTTATCGAAATGCAACACCTTCGAATGTGTTTAAAATAAAATGGGAACGATACCGATTGATATGAAGTGAAACCCTGACGAAGCCATATATGGCTTCATAATTAATGTATCAATTACTTTGTTTTTTTTTTAATGACAAAATCAATTTTTGAGTGAAACTTACAAAATGATTTTGTCAATGTTATTAAACCACATATTGGTCACTTCATAATGAAAATCCTCCGCCATCGTAATTAGCACATTATGTGTACGGTACATCGAATGGGCCGTTTTAATGTAATTCAAAAGTTCGCCAACCTGTGTTAATAGAATAACAAAGTGCGTTAAAATTCGATAACAATTGGTTTAATTATTTTTATTTTCATATTGCGATGATGATGCAATTCGAAAGTGGTACATAAATCAAAACAGAACATCAAGACGAAGTGCAAAGGTTTGGATCCAAAATCAAACACTTGACACAAACACAGAAAAATTGTGGAGAGTGGGAAATATGAGGCCAGCATGCGAGTGTTATGGTAACTTATCATCTCCAAATCGATATACGACACATGTCCTTTTATTCTCCCTTTCTCACCTAATCAATCGATCCAAGCTCGTATACTGAATATCGGCATCCATATAGGTAAAGTCACCGCCCATGGTAACAATGATGTTATTCGTTCGTGTTGTGTAGGCTTGTTTGCCAATGAAATCGAAAAATACGCTCAACTATGCGATGTCACGAACCGGGTTCAACAGTGTTTTGTGTTTGTTTCGATTCAAAGGTCAACGTTTTAACAAATTTTCGGAAATAAAATGAATTATATGTTTGTTTTTATGAGCTTCACTCCGAAATGACTGAAAATAATAGCATCAAATGCAAATTAAATTTACCTTTCGATCGACTCGGGACTACTTTTATCATCGATAATTGGCTCGTCCGCACAGAGAATATCAAAACAGAATCCTGGCGGTGGACTGTATGTGTTGTACAAAACGCCGGTAAACAAATCCGCTTTTTCGCCTAAACTATCACTTGCATGCCAAACCATTTCCGCTTCCCGGTTTGTAAACCGATTCACTTTATTTTGGTAATCAATTCGACCCAAAAACAATCCATCATATCCCATTTGTGCCAACAATGATGCCTACATTTTTAGAACAAGAGTTATTTTGCACATTATTATTGTTTGAATTTCCTGATTGTCATTGTTTACATTAGTCATCAGCGTTATCAAAAATTCAATTTGATGACAACCATTTTCACATACCAATTCCCTTGAATGGCCGAATGGATCGATTTGCCAGCCAATTTTCGGTCGTCCACATTCTCCGAAGGTATCGTTCAATTTCCTGATAATTGACCGAAACCAAATATTTTATTAATATCTTTAGTTCAACGTACGTCTGTCTCATGTTACCATACCGTAAGCCCCATGTAAATTGGTCGACAGTGCTGTGATAATGCGTAGCTGCCTCATCGTTCATGCTCCAAGCGCCACCGATAAATTCCAGCCGATCTTCGTTTACCAGCTGTTTGACTTGTTCTTTGAATGCTGCTGCTTGATGACTCCACCATTTGAAGAAAAAGGCCGATTCCACGTAAATGAATCGCTTTTCGGGATCTTTTAACAGTGCCGATAGCACCGAAACAAGAATATTCTCTACGTTGGCTTTTTGTATAGTTGGTTTGGCCCTGTAATAATATTGATCCACTGTTTTCAACCAGCCGACGTCATCATGTGTATGGGCCACGATGTGCACATTCAACATGTCGGGCTTTGGTTGTGGGCAACCCTTTTAAAATGCAAAAAAAATCGGAGAACAAGAGAAAAATAATTAAATTCATTTTTGTTGTTAAAAATTTTGAAATATATCGATCAATTAGCAACAAAGTGCATTTTATTCATTTCGGGTGTATGGAGGCAATACAACAGCAAAACTCATAAAATAATTAAAAATTGGAAATATGGAAAAAGTAGAAAAAGAGGCAGAATAAAAGGGAAAGATAGAGTGAGGAAGAGAGAAAGAGAGAGAAAATAGTGGAAGAGATAAAAAAGTAAAGAGGAAAAGTGAAATATAGAGAAAAAGTCAACAAAATGAAAAAAATAGAGGAAAGAATTCAGCAACAATAATTTGTTGTAGTTAAAATTGTAGTTGCCAATTAAAATTTGTTCCAGACAATATGTATATTAAAACCAACCATGGAATAAAGACAAACGGAAAATAGACAAAAAAAAAACCGTAAAACAATCGAAGTAAACAAATCATTCACTGTCAATAATAATAATTTATACAATGTGAATCGTGTTTCACGCTTTTTCCATATTTGCTGCATTTTTCTGTGGTTCTCTTTTCAACGCTATTCTAAACATCATTTGCTGATAGACGGCAAACTGAAGTCTTGCATGTCGTTTTCTACTTTAATGGAAAATAATCTGATTTTAGTACAGTGGAAAAAAAAGAAGTGAACGGTGTGTGTATGCAACAGTAATCGATTTAAGTGCTCAATCGTCAATTAAATGATAACCGAAGTTAATCGTGGTTAAAAATAAACGTTCGGATCGATGATGTCGTTAGATTGTACGCGCTATGCGTCAATGTGTGAAACATATGGGAAAAGCCTGAGTGCTGCAATTAAACCCGTAATAAAATTTTATATCGGAAGCTCCATATCTAGTAGTAAATGGATTTAATTTTATCCAGACGATATTGGAATCGTCTCACATAATAAAGTACTTAACAGATAATTGAATTTGGAAAATGTTTTCATTCTTGAAATTTGAACTCCACCAGTAGCGTTACTTTTATCAATCAAACCATCCATGAATCGAAGTAGAATAAATTTATTGTGTTTTAGTGAAAAAAAAAACAAAAACATTTGATAATTCATAGTATTTACTGGAACTTGGGATATTCAAGCAGATTCGTCACGGTAATAGTGTATGATAAGGGTACACATTTGTATACAATGTGATTCAGTCCAATACAAAGTTTATCTCAGTTTTAAAACAAATAAACAAAAAAACAACAAATCATCATTCTTTTGTACTTTTTTCATCACAAAATCACACTTCTAGGGAAGAGAATAAAATAAAAATGTTCTGCATTACAATGATTCATATCAGAGTTTGTTCTGTGCGAAATTCATCATCAATAAATAAATTTATGCGTTGGATTTATCAGATAAATCGCACGCGTTGCTGTATGAACTCAACGCGTTCAGAACGCACGCAACGCACGTTTGAACAAGCAGCGCCGGTGCGTATTCACACAAATGCCATTTCATTTATGTATGATTTTCTAATGAAAAATATTTATTGGAATATTTCTCAAAAATTAAATTTAAAATTGTTTCTCAATGAAAATTCATCACATTTCGTTTGGTTTTGTTTTGTTTTGTTTTTCTTTTGTTTGCTCATTTCGACGACGTTCGAACACGAAGCACACAATCACTGCTGAGCTCATAAGTCATTGCTGTGTTTATGTATGTGAGTTAGAAGAGCAAATCGTTGCAACGATTTCGGTTGACGTTTGAGCGGCAAATCGTTTCAATGATTCAATACACTCGATTATTGTGCCTTTCCATAGAATGCTCGTGACAATGGTCGTTGAGCATTGGATGAGTGGTCCGTTGGACGCGAGTTCGATTCCAACATTGATTTTATTTTGTTTTTTTTTTAATAAATAGAAAATATATGAGCTTGATGGAAATGAGAATAAATGCTATGAAAAGGTTGATTACCTATAAAATATCATTAAGAATGAACTCTGTCCTACTTATGTATGGTTTTTACAGAAGCAAATCGTTGCAACGATTTCATTTGATGAGTCGTAGTAATGAACGAGTGATTCGTTGAACGTTAGTTTGATATCAAAATTATTTGTTTTTCGTAACTCTTTTAAGAATCAACTTTTTCTTGTAAGAAAAGAATCCTGGAATTTTTCGAAAGTAAACTAGATATTTCTATTTTGCTCATATCTTTAAAAAAATAGTACATAATTTTGGGTATTTTTCAAAGAAAATTTAATGTATTCGTTGTAACGATATAAAACCCGATCACATTTGCAATATGAAAATAAGCATTTCTCCTTGAAAAGACATTGAAAATTGAAGGTTGCATATTTTAGTGGGAAGATATTTTAACATTGGTCAAATATTTAATAGTTTTACCAAGATTTGAATTTCGTTTTCATTCACTTCGAGATATAGATCCTTGTTGAGGTGGATACAAAGAATATCTTCCAGGGTTTCGTTCGATAAACGGTTTCGAAGATCGCTGCAAATGAACTTTAATGCGGAAAAGTCACGCTCCACTTCGGTTTCTGTTGGTGGGATTGCAAATATCGCATTGGCCACATCACGTAACGACTCGTAGTCATTCGATTCATTCCAATACTCTAAAACGGGCTTTTTCAAGGCCATGGCTGGTGGGTCGAAAGCATCCAACGTTGCTTCAAAATCGCTACTCAAATCAGTTCGATCGATATTATGCCCCAAAAAATCACGAATGGCAGTTTCTGCGTCGAATCTGATGTTGATGCTGTCGTCAGAATCAGCGTCAGCCATCGTTTCATTCGTGCCGATTTGGTCGCTGCAGTAATTCAAGCGTTGCTTCATTTGAGCTATGAATTCCTTCGCCTCGTCGACATGAAGTGAATTGTGAATAATTGCACTTCGATAGCGTGGGTCCAAATATAGGGAGGCTTTCATTGCCGGGTGATCGAGCACGTGATCATTTCTGCTGTGTATTCCTTGCATAAATTTTACGTCCAATCCACATTTGCTGAGTTTTGAATCGATTACCTACCAAATGCATAACATCATTAGTTCAATTGAAATTAGAATATATGTTAGTGTCTTTTTGGGAAACATTGGGTTCTGTGTATAGACGCTGAAATACACAATCTTACCTTCTGCATGTGTAATTTAACTTCCAGCCATTTTCCAAATGTATCCGACAATGTCAGTTTACGACTTTGTAAAGAGAGCATTGCTTCATACGGTATCTTCAGAATATAAATGACTTCCTTCAATACCCGCCACGAATTTAACAGCAATGGAAATTCGTGGTATTTTCTCTTCATTCCTGCTACCATCGCAATGTGCTCGATAATTTGTTGCGAATTCGCCAATTCATACAACTAAATTGAACAAAAAAATCAAATTATGATTTATGTTTCAACGCGAAGAAAATAAGAAAAAAAACGAATTACGTTTTGAACTTTTCCAATCGAAAAATTGGTAAAAAAAATCGGAATGCGAAAAAAAAAATTACCTTACAATACTTACCATAACATAAGTTGAGCCCCATCGAGTCTCAACGTCCAGTTTGGGCTTCTTCAATTGAAGGCCAGATCCTTCAAGTAGATACTTGGTTGACTCCAACCTAAGGATCTTGGCAACTCGTCGGCACAGCAATATTATGTTCTTCGTTTCTTGAGGCATATTGTTCAGCGCATCTTTCACTACTAATTGCAGGGTATGCGCAGCACACCTGATGGCACTTAGGTCAAATGACTGGTGACCATGTTCGACTGAAATTTGTGGAATTATTTGACCCAACACGTTAGCATTATTTGACCCAACACGTTGTTCACTTTCGAGATCATTTTCCGGATCAATTTCGCACTCTCCGAAAATCATATCTATTGCGTCATCGTCGCTCGGATCTTCTGTTGTCAATATGGCACTTATTTCACGATTGATTACATCTCTCGGTTGCGATCGATTGTACAGGTTTGCTACTTCAAAATCAAGTCTAACGGCTACCTTTTTGCGAGGCGGTTCTTCGGTGGCGGCCATCTGTTCAAGACGAATCATTTTTTGAACGTCTTTGCCATTATCAGCTGAAATGCTCACAACTTGGGTTCGCTCGATGTTGTAACGATTCAAGCATTTTCGATAGGTTTCGAGCAAATTGTCGCTAGTGTGCGCTTTGTCCATAACAACCATTCCAATGTTATGGATATTAATATTGGCATTTTTTACATACTGCAAGTCGATTCCAAAAACTGATCGGCCAAGACGAGACGCCATATCGATTTGAATTGAAACTGGGCTTCCTTTGATGTTCCTTTTAATTTTTTCTCGCGACAAGTCGGCTGCACGGTGCAAGTATTCATGAACAGCTGGCTGGTATTTACTCTTCAAGTCTAGTGGATGGCCAGCTCGCTCGAATTCTTTCAACTGTTTGGCTACAATTTCCTGAAAACCGAAATCCGTCAGACACGCGAACGGTCGCCCACTCAAAGCAATGATGGACACGCAATTTTGGAGAAGTTTCAAACGTCTTATTTGAATTGGTTCGTCGACATCATCACCAATATTGTCCAAGTAAAATTGTCGATGTTTGTAATAAAGATGTGACGCCAAATTTGAGGGATTTGATCCTACGTATTCTCTTAAACACAATTGGCACAAATAAAAGTGTTTTTCAACTCCATTCTCCTCTCGAATGCCAGCATCATCGAAGAAAGTAAGTGCCTTCTTACCCTTTGTTTCAACTTTTGAACATTTTCTTTTTCTGGGTGTTCCTGGTAACTTCTTTGGCGTTCTCGGGTTTTTCTTCGGAGTTTGCCCATTTTCGGGATTCACTTGTGAATTTTCTTGCGATTGATCCATTATTATGAACACATTGTCGAATGATACTTATAATCCGAGTAGAAAAATCCGTTTATTTTTCAAATGGATGAGAACGTCGAATTCAGTTTGACATTTGTCGAATGGTGAGTAGAATGTGAGAAAAATGTTGCATACACATTAAACGCAGCTAATTATAACGCTGCGTGGTGCGAATATTTCACTATGTAGGAGAGATGAACGTCAGTGCACAGACTTTCGGTTTCGTTTTACCGCTAGACGCAACCAATAGCAATATTGGTTTCGGTTCATTTTTTGAAATTTAAATGACCAACGGCTGTCAAAAATCAAACAACGACAACAGTCGAATATACAATACACAGTTTGAATAAACATCGATCGGTTTCTTTTTCCCGCGAGAATTGCATAGTTATTCTGCAAAATGTTAGTCGTCGTTTACCTAATGGACGCTAAGAAAAATATAATTATTCCACAGGATTGGATTTTAGCATTGGATCAAGAGACATTGAATAATGTTGGTAAGGCTTCGTATCAACATCGACGAATTTTTTGGTCAAATCATGGGCTCAGTGATGATGGTATACCCGATGAGTCGATTGCACCAAATTTCTATTTGCCATTATCAAAAACATTTCCACCACCGGAAAATTTGGCTGAAACTTGTTACATTGCTCGTGTCAAACAGTATTGTGGTAAGATAATAGCTATAAACCATTTTTGTACTGAGTTTTTCAAATATTTTTATATATTATAGCAACAGTTCCCAGAGCAAAGATGTTCCGTGACCAATTCCGTGCACGGCAACCAATACGCTACAGCAACCGTAGAAAATCGGATGGATTGACGCCGTCAACTTCACCAACGCCAAATGAACAAAGTGATTCAGACCTGATCAATTCACCACATGCATTGAATTCGAATTCAAGTCAACCACGTGAAGCTGAGTCACTCAATTTTAATGGTTCAAATCCAGTTGCACAATCTAATTCACATGAATTTCAAAACGAAAGAGCTACTGAAAGTTCGAATGATGAACCACAAATCCAAGTCGATGACACGTCAGCAGATTCAGGTGAAACAATCAATCAAGCGTCAAGTGAAGTGAAGAGCATCATGCCAAATGTCGAAATGGGAGAGGAAGAATCTTTTGCAATCGATAGCGTATTCGATGATGATTATAGTGACGATAATTTGAGCACTAATTCATCCGACTCGGAAAACATGGATCAAGAGCTACCAAACGTGAATTTGTCGCGGGGCGAAACTGTATTTTGGGATGGTGGTATATTAAAAGTGAAGAAGAAGTACGGACGTGACTGTGAAATCACTTACACTTATGGCGAAAGATTGGCACCAAAAGTTCCTGTGTTTGAAACAAAAATGAATGATCTCATCTCTATGAATATCCCATTCAAAGAAAATGTAAGTGTTCAAAATAAATTGTTTGTCAACGATACACTTCTATTCAAATTCATGTTCGAAAATTCAGGGAAACGGCGATCGAGCTTATTTAGTGACGACAAAGCAAGGATCAAAAGAAGTTCAGTTGGCTTCCCGCATTGTGAATGGTTTGAAACAGCTAAATTCAGGGGACAAACGTGAAAGTCGGCAGTTCGATAAAGCATATATAACAGCACTAATTGTTGGCATCATTGGAATTCAACAGGTCAAGGATCATGGGGTGGACAAGGATGTTTTGAAATTTATTAAAAGTAAGTTAGGAGTATTTACTATTTTCATGTTAATGAGTTTAATTTGTTGTGTATTTCCATTTGCACAGGTCTTTTCGACATCCGAGTGGCAAAACACGATGATGAAAATGGAAGCCGCTATCTTTCTTTCAAGCGTTTGGCTGATCTTGCTTCTGACGAAATAAAAGAGAACAATTTCAAAAAATAAAATATGATTTCTGATATGCACTTCTTCTTTTGAAATCCAGATGTTTGTAACAAATGGCAAAAAGAAAATAAATCCTGTGAAATGATTACTTTTTTATTGTAGCTCAATTGAATATTACCAAAACAAAAACTGTATATTTAACAGTATCAACTGTTTGTTGATTTTCGAAGTAGTTACTTGTTCACAGTTGTGAATGAAAATGAAATAGATTTCCAATTGATTTTGTACCAGAGATTTGCTTTACATATCGAAGATTTAGAACAAGAAAATATGTATAAACATAATTGGAATCGTCACTTGGTTTTAAATTCAAATGGTCGTTACAGTGAAAGAGCCAAGTAGCATATCGTTGCAACGATTCTTGGTGTCTAATGTCACTTGCCCGAGTGTGAGGGCTCTGTTTGTTTACAAATCACATCGTTGCAACGATGCTTGGTGCTGAACAACAGAAACTTATGTCACTTGCCTCTCACACTCGCGTGGTTGTGTTTGTTTACAAAATCAAAACCAAACAAATAACAACTCATTCACCGGCTAACTCAATGAACCAAACTAACACATACCCACATACTATCGCATCATTGAACCAACACTTATTGAATCTCCGATTTTCATGTGATGGAAAAAAAATCTTGTTGGAACGTTTTACAGCGATATTGTAGACGATACAAACAATATATTGTGTATACATACGAATGGAACTCCGTACCATTCGATACATATTTGTGTAATTGTGTTTTCATTCTGTGATACAGGGACAGTGAATGAGAGTGGACCAGCGAATCAAAACTGAAATGTCATTTGAATATTCGAATCGTTAGAACCTATACGGAAATCTGTTTTTGATACATGTTTTTAGTAGGATAATTGGTGAAAATGGATAATAAAGTGCATAATTTCAAGTGAAAACAGTGTGACATTGCGCCATTCAGCCAGAAATCACATCTGAATGCTCATATTGAGTTGAAGCATAATGATGAAGGAGGAAAACGCGAATGTGTGAAATGTACACAAGTTTTTGCACAAATGAACAACTTTATAGTGCATTACAAGAAGGAACATATGCAAAATTGTGGTCAATTGTGCGAAGGCGTAAACTGTAAGCATTGTGATTTGGACTTGAAAAGTGCCAAAGTGGAATGGCAGTTGAAGCCAGTGGAAGTGGAATCTCCCATATTTGAAACAGTAGGTGGCCACATTTGTAAATTTTGTAAAAAGACTTTCCGAGAAAAATTCCACTTGAACACACACATCAAATTGAAACACGACGACTCCCACCGTTCGGGTGTGTGCACGGAATGTACGTCGACTTTTGGACAAATGAATAACTTTGTCGTGCATTATAAGAAAAAACACTTAAAAAAGGATTGTGAATGTGGCGGCAAAGAATTGTGTGTAGAGTGTGCGAAAAAAGTGACACAGGCGAAAAAATTGTGGCGTGAAAACAAATCCCAACCGATTGAAAATTCAAAATCAGCCGAGCCAGCTACAGTTCAATTACAAGCATTGGCAATTCCACCATCACAAGCTACACCCCAACAACCACAGCCACCAGTTCAATCGCATCCTCCTGAGATTGCTGCACTAGCTGTAGATTTGCTTTCCGTCACCACTGTGGGACCTACGTTGCCGAAAACCGAAATAACGACATCGAATGCCAGCGTTTATTGTTCGCCACATGTTATCGCCAGCCTCAGAACTGTGTCACAAACGAAAACAATTACTGCTACGGCTTCGATTGGAAATGCTGAACATAAAGTCACCACACAAATTGTGGTTCCATCCGTTCAACACCAAAAACGACGAAATAGTATCGCCAGCCCCAAATCCATCTCACGAATGGGAACGATTGTCTCTACCGCTACCGCTCTCGCCGAAATGGCCAAAGACAAATCCGCCTCACCAAATAGCAAAATCCGTCGATCTAGCATCGCCAGCTCCGGCTCTCTCACAAAAATTGAAACGATCGACGAAAAACCCGCACCTACCGTGTACGACAAAATATTGGAAAAATTCAACTCTACAAATGCTTCCAGTGAGTCAGCGCACATTGCCAAACAAGCCGAAGACAAGCATTTGAATCAGGCGAATATTGACGTAGTGAATCGCGAGGCGTCGAAATCTCAACTTGATTTGGATTATGTCAAAAAATGCCGAGATATCGAAAAATTTTGGATCATCGCAACATATTTGCGCCGAAATCCGCACATTGACAACGCACAGATTGCCAAAGATGCCGGGGTAGATATGAAAAAGTTGTCAACCTTCATCGACCAGTCATCACACATCACCTGCGAGCAAGCGATGGGTTTATATCCTGGGGCATACGTGCGCTTGAAAGGAGGATTCAAAGAAAACGGCATAAATACCGAGGTAAGACTTTTTCATTAGAGACAGATATTATTTTTAGTCAGATATATATTTATCATGTTCAAACGCAAATATAATATTTTGTTTCTCTTTCTATTTTCAGCTCAACAAAGAACTGCGTGAGTTCGCAAGTAGCCGTCCAGAATTCAATGCCATTCTGAATGAATGGGAGGGGCTCAGAACTCAGCTGTGAGCAAACATGAATGTATTCAAACGCCGCTCCGTATTGAAACGTTATCGAAACAAACATATGCAGTAATATGAAAAAAAAATCTTATTTGAAAATAAATTTCGGTCATTTTTTTCAATACTAAACTTAAGTATTTGTTTGTAATTGATATCTATAATTGATAAAAACGAAAAAAAAATAAATTTCCATTTTGGAAATGATCACACAACCAACGGAATACAAATCCAATGCTTAACGACCATTGCCACGAGCATTCTATGGAAATGCACAATAATCGAGTGTATTGAATCATTGAAACGATTTGCCGCTCAAATGTCAACCGAAATCGTTGCAACGATTTGCTTCTGTAAAAACCATACATAAGCAGGACAGAGTTCATTCTTAATGATATTTTATAGGTAATCAACCTTTTCTCATAGCATTTATTCTCATTTCCATCAAGCTCATATATTTTCTATTTATTGGAAAAAAAAAACAAAATAAAATCAATGTTGGAATCGAACTCGCATCCAACGGACCACTCATCCAATGCTCAACGACCATTGCCACGAGCATTCTATGGAAAGGCACAATAATCGAGTGTATTGAATCAT